ATTGAAAGAGAATTGAACGTTTAGGGTGCATCTCAATAGGAATTCTCTCAAATATTCAGTGGGTATGTCGGTGTTCATCTCCTTTGAATAAATATTTTCACATATATAGCATATCGTTTCGGTTAGTGGGACGTTTGTAAACTGTGATACCACATCTAGTGAGAACTTGGTTTGATTGGAACACTGACCTCTTTAATGGAATTGACAAAATCGAAGGAATCTCGGAGTGAGTGGCAGGAAATTCGCCCTCTGACGGGTTCGAATAGGTATACTGGCAATCGGGCAGTGCGATGGTGAGGTGAATTGGTCATATTGAGAATGGGTCGAAGAAGTATATCTCGCTTGTACACTTTCAGTAATCCATAAAGTCGGCATATATTTGTGTCAGACGGCCTAAGCAATTCCAAGGTTTCAACGTCGATGAATGATTCAGTTTTTGGTTTTCGGGGAGTATCTCTTAGTTTTTATTCAACTTGCTCCATCATGTTCTTTTTATTGGTTGGTTTTGTGAATTTTGACTCGTCGGATAGGATGGTCAGCATTTTACAATTGTAGTCTTCACGAATCATGACTACTATTCCCCCACTTTTATCAGGACATGTCAGAATTATCTCTTTGTTATTTATGAATTCCTTTAGCTCTTTATAGTACTCGTCGCCAAATTATTGTTATGTACTGGTCGAGAATTTAATAGTCCTGACGCAAGAAAGACGGAAATCAGAAGACCACTAGGTTTGCGATGATACTTCTATTTTCCAAACACAAGGAGAATCAAAATGTCACACAAGTGTGTGAGAGCAAATATGAATGTCCGAAAGTGTGTGAACACAAGTGTGAGAGCGAATATTCAAAATGAACAAATCAATAGACAGTCTTAACATGATTGGCTAATTATAATGGAATATCGATCCATATATACATAGCAAAATATATCAGATTGTCAAACAAACACACAATTTATATGGATACATGTCACCAAGATCAGACCGTCAAACAAACACACATATTATATATATATATATATATATATCAAGTGCCTTTTGGTTAGTATCGACTTCCCACTTAGTTTGGCATTTATAAACTTATGACAGCTGTCAAGGTCTGACGATTTGAATTGTTGCAGATTTTCTTCAGATGTGTTGTTAAGGCATCATATGTTTGGTTAACTAGGTTTTCGAACTGAACGTGGAATTGGAGCTTCTGGATGCTTGATGGTTTCGTGCAGAATTTCGGACCGATTGATAGTGCTTCTAGTTGAAGTGTTGGTATTTTGATGTTTGATAGATTAAATACGTATTTTTCTGGATTGTTCAGAAATGGATGTTCAGTAGTACTTGTCGATTTCATCGTCGACTTCATTTTATCACGTTGTTTCTGTGTGACTTCTTGAACGTATTCTTCGGATTGTCGTATTTCTTGGTCTATATCATGAACTGCTCGCGAGAAATTCTGAAGATAATCAGCGGAAAATAAAGTCCACTGGAAAATTCTGTTTTCACTGGTTAACATTGAAACAATGAGTTGTAAGAGACACAGTCTTTGACGACTATTAGGTAGAAGTATTTAGTCCAGAACTTTGCTGTTTGTTCTTCTTGATACTTGTCTATCTTCAGTTTCTTTAGTTCCAGTAAGTTTCTTTTTGAAGTATCAATTCGACATACTTTGTGGGTCGTCGTAACCCAAGTAATCTTGAGTAGTCTCAACTTGGTTATTCGTTTATTGTTCAGCTTCGTCACACTTATTTATCTACAAAATTTATGCAGCGGTAAGTCTTCTCAAAGCTGGTTACTTGCACCATCTCCTTTTGTACACAGGGACGTGGTTTATAAACTTGGATTGCACAAGACCCAGCATGCTCCTGTTTCTTTGTCTGCTCACAATAGTGAATGACTTTACAGCGTCGATATCATGTCCATAGTCCACAAGAGGTTTTGTTATTGAGATTTTTGACACTTTGCACTCAGCTGTTTTCAACCATTTCGGCAAATGCTGCATAATGCTGGTAGAATATCGCCTTTCTGTAAGACCTATGTCTCCAATCCTGGACACTTCAAGCTGCGTATATCAGTTTGAGTATCAAATGAACTGTAGTCAAGATTTGACAAAATAGTTCTAAAATATTTGGGCGCCGAGTGAGAAGTAGACATTTGTAAAATCTCAGTGATATTGAAATGAGTAATTCCAACGTTTCGTTCGGCAATCTTGTCCGAACCTCTGTTATGTTAATTTCGATTAATTAGCCTGAAGAAGTACGGACCAGATTGCCGAACGAAAAGTTGGAATTGATCATTTCAATATCGCTGAGATTTTACAAATATAGTATTTTTACAAATTTGAACAAGGCATTAAGAAGACAAATTTCGCGAGATGATATCATTTCGTAGTTTCTTTACAACCGCTTTACAACTAACATGGTTAACAATGATAAAATAAAGTTCATGAAAATTACTCAGTTAAATAAAAACAAAAGTACATACTAATGACCAATCATATTAAGATAGGTCATGCAGTCCAGGGTAGGCGAAGATTGAAGTCTATTGATTTTTGTACACATAGTTTAGGCTGTATGTGATTAATCCAAAGTGCTTCCATCACCTTCAATAACCTTGAATTAGAGTTATGTGAAATAATTGTGAAACAGTCATTAATATTTATTTTGTGACCAGACATTAATAAGTGTTTTGCAATGGATGATGCTGGATTTCTATTAAGATTAATCGCGTTGGGATTTTCGATATGGTTTACTAGCCATTTTGGAATATGTTCTTTTCGACGACATTGGAACATTCTGTTAGTTCTACCTATATAGGTGTCACCGCAGCTGCAGGTGAACTTGTAGATACAGTTTGAAGTAGAGTCCACAGAATTTCGTCCTTTAATCGTAGGAACAGGGATCGAAAATGTTCGGCAAGTGAGAAAAAGAGATGCGGCGTAGAATGTGCGTTTGATGGCTGATCGAAGTCTTTGAGTTGTCAACTGCATAATCTGGTCGCCCTTGAATGGTAGATTAATAAAGATGGCTTTCTTTGGTACAGAAGCTGTCTTTTCGAGATGTGGTTTTTCTTTGCTGTGACATGTGATAAAGCTCTCCGGATAACCATTAGCTAATAAAACTGAATGTACATGTCGAAGCTCATCCATCAGTGTGTCACTCGTGCATATTTTTCGGGCCCTTGAGAACAAACATTTCACTAGGGAACGTTTATACTGGATTCACCAATGTTCCCCTTCATGAAACTGTTGATTTTATTTGCGATTACATCACAAGCAATGGCATAAACTTACCCATTCCCGTCACTTACATCAAAGACATAATCTTAATGTGTACAGAAAATATTAGATTCACATTCCAAGAAAAGGCATATAAACAAATCGATGGTGTTGCGATGGGGAGCCCTCTGGGGCCCCTGTTAGCAGATATATTTATGTCGAAATTAGAGAAACAAATGCAAGGTATGCTTGGAGGATTTATGCTGTATAAACGTTATGTAGATGATACTCTTATTATTGGTAATAATAGTGAATCTATTGAAAACTTCATTACTCTATTTAATCATATTCATCCAAATATTCGAGTGACTTCCGAACTAGAATCGAATAACAAACTTGGTTTCCTGGATATTACTATGACTAGGAGAAATGATGGAACGATTCAGCGCTCTATTTTTCGTAAACAAACATGGACTGGACAATATCTTCATTTTACCAGTTTTGTTCCTATCCAGTATAAACGTTCCCTAGTGAAATGTTTGTTCTCAAGGGCCCGAAAAATATGCACGAGTGACACACTGATGGATGAGCTTCGACATGTACATTCAGTTTTATTAGCTAATGGTTATCCGGAGAGCTTTATCACTTGTCACAGCAAAGAAAAACCACATCTCGAAAAGACAGCTTCTGTACCAAAGAAAGCCATCTTTATTAATCTACCATTCAAGGGCGACCAGATTATGCAGTTGACAACTCAAAGACTTCGATCAGCCATCAAACGCACATTCTACGCCGCATCTCTTTTTCTCACTTGCCGAACATTTTCGATCCCTGTTCCTACGATTAAAGGACGAAATTCTGTGGACTCTACTTCAAACTGTATCTACAAGTTCACCTGCAGCTGCGGTGACACCTATATAGGTAGAACTAACAGAATGTTCCAATGTCGTCGAAAAGAACATATTCCAAAATGGCTAGTAAACCATATCGAAAATCCCAACGCGATTAATCTTAATAGAAATCCAGCATCATCCATTGCAAAACACTTATTAATGTCTGGTCACAAAATAAATATTAATGACTGTTTCACAATTATTTCACATAACTCTAATTCAAGGTTATTGAAGGTGATGGAAGCACTTTGGATTAATCACATACAGCCTAAACTGTGTGTACAAAAATCAATAGACTTCAATCTTCGCCTACCCTGGACTGCATGACCTATCTTAATATGATTGGTCATTAGTATGTACTTTTGTTTTTATTTAACTGAGTAATTTTCATGAACTTTATTTTATCATTGTTAACCATGTTAGTTGTAAAGCGGTTGTAAAGAAACTACGAAATGATATCATCTCGCGAAATTTGTCTTCTTATTGCCTTGTTCAAATTTATCAAAGGGACTAATTGTTTTAATTTTTACAAATGTCAGTTTGAGTATGTTTGTTCACCAGTTCTAATGTCATCACTCAGAAGGGCCGAAATATTTCCTATGGTCATTTTGTGTCTAATGTTTATGAATATTTCAGTTGCAATAAATAATAGGCATGAACAAACCAATTATTGAAAGTGCGTTATGATCACATGAATTAGAAGTTCACTTTTTCACTACATCCTACTTTAGCTACTTAAGATTTTGTAAGTAGTGTAAATAATTAATCTAATCAAAGTAGAACTCTGAGTCAACTGGTAGCAATGTGGAGTCTATCGGTATGCTGTCAGTAAAATGTATCATGAGTGTTTACACGTAACAATAACTTTTAGTGTTTATCTGAATTATACTTTTCTAGTTGAAAAGCGGGGAATTGTTGGTCAAAATGTTAAATGATCACCGACATCATTTAGACGATGGTGATATTATTCGGTTTACTGAACTTGAAAAACTACCGCAGCTAAGCGGCAAGGAATTTTCTGTAAAAGGTAACTAGTGTAATGTTTTTTTAATATACCCTTTTGTTGACTGTGTTTTAATTGGTCTGTTAAGTGGTGGTTGGGAAATTCTATCCATCATGAACGATTATAGGCTATCGATTGTACTGTAATATTTGTTATTTTGTTGCTTTTGAGAATCACATGTTTCAGTGTACAATGCCGAATGATATTTGTAAATACGAACTAATTAGTCCAACTCACAGTTCCCCTTGTTTTAAAAATACTGACGGTAGCTATTTTCTCTTTGGTCAATGCTGTCACGTCCACATACACCGTACAGTTTTGCAAGAAATCTCCCAACGATACTTTAAAGTTTAATTTGAGGGTACTGGATAGTGATGTTTTTGTCACACAAACCGATAGTCCTGGTAGTGTTAGCTAGGCAAGGATGGTAAGTCAATCGATGTGGTTATGTAGCTACATAGGTCGAGATGGCTAGGACGCATGTTATGCTTGACGAGCCACCTACTTCTCTGTCGACCAATCTTAGCTGACAAAGAATTAGGTTGTAAAACGGTTAGAGGTTGTGAAACCAAAACTTAACATTAATCTATTAGGGATTCGACCGTTAGTTTGCACCACTTAGGGAGATGTAGATGGCCTGGTTGGGGTCCTTGGAAAGCTGAGAATTGGTGACATAGCTCGCAACCTTCATCAATAGTGCAGGTGCATTTACACTTTATAATCTCTAATGATTCACTAAACCGTTATGTTTCCTCATGTTATTATTCTTTGTTCAGTACATTTCTCCTCACAATATTTCTTTTGAGTTTCTTTTTCCCGCTTTTGTCTACCTTTGTGTGCTATACAGGGTGCGACAGCTTGAAACGCAGCGTTTGTGTGCAAACTTCTTTGTGTTTTTTTATTTTTGATTACAGCTTGATTCCACACTGTATTTTTGGTACAAGTATGGAATTTTCAGGATGGATATCGGTAGCCCAAATTTTGCAGGCCGACCATAGATATCAGGTGTGAGTCGGTAGGGGATCGAAACTCGGACCATGTGCATGGTCGGCGAGAGTCCTTAGCACTGTGCCACCGACGCACACGTTGAAACTCATTGAATCATTCAGCTTGTTTATTCATTTTAACTCTTACGATCTTATTTAATTACTACCATATTGTAACGACACAGCCTTTTGAGTGTTTGTTAACGGAATTATTTACTGGCAAATCGATGTATAAAAGCTGGCAGAGTACATTTACTGTGGCGTGTGCTATTGCCAAGATCTATCATTAGTATATAAAGAAATGTTCATCGGCACAAAATGTCAAATATCGGAGAGGTAGGTTTGACTTCAAAGAGAACAAGTGAACCAGTGTTGTGGATAAATATGGGAAACACGTAAAGAAGACAAGGAAACACAATACGAAGGACAGAAGTAACACAACACCGAAGATATGTGGAAATGACCATTCTCATACAAGGTCTACATAATTTCCCTATATAAAATTCCAAATCAACTTTCTGTTACCAAGTCTTTTGTCTTCTCCCGTTGCACCACTACATATAGCGGTCGAAATTTGCACTGGTCTTTTGTATTGTGCTGCTTTTGTCTTTCATATTGGGCTTCTTTGTCTTCCTTTCGTGTTTTCCATATTACTTCACAAGAACTGTTGATTTCTCCTCTTCTCCACTAAATCTATCTCCCCACCATTTGATATTTTTACAGATATGATATATATATGTATATATATATATATATATATATATATATATACATATATACTGACGGAAAACATTTGTAGCTCAGGTGAATGATTTTGATGTAGTTTTTTTCCTTGAGCTGGATGGTTTATTTTCGAAGCTTTCAATGCCCTGCTAGGCAACATCTCCAGAAACCACAACACAGTTTGTCCAAGGAACTAAACACAAAATTGAAACACTCCATCAAATTTGCTATCTAATTTCCAGAGAAAATCAGAAGCGTTCAAACAGGTGATGAAGAGAGAAGAGGAACCCGACAACAAAATCCTGTTTTTGGACGTCTTGGTCAAGCAAACAACAACAGGGGAATTAGAAGCTCAAATTTGTGAAAATCAACTCACATAGACCGAATACTTAATTACAACAGCAACAATCCAATAACACACAAACAGAGTTATATACAAACACTATTCAAGAGGTCCAGGAATCATTGCATCACTCATACCTTAAGGAACATTGAATAAAAATATCTTATGGACGTCTTTCAAAAGAATGAATATCCACGGAACTTTATCAAAAGACATCTACACCAAAGCCAGCCAATCAAATCAAAGGCCCCGAAGGAAAACACAAAGAAAATCATCTTACCATTTATGAACGACGTCTCAGAAATCACTTCAAGACTCTTCAGACTTTTGGCGATTGACAATGACGCACATCAACCAAAAAAATCATTTCACTCAGCTGTGTGTCAACCAAAAGACTCAACAGAGAAATAAGATAAAACCAACATCATCTAAAAAATAAGTTGCAACTACTGCATAAAAAACACTACATTGACCAAAGTGGACTAGCTATCGAAAGATATGACATGTACCCGCTCATATCGTTGCATACAGATAACCACGGACATCAATTCGACTGGGATAACGTTCAGATATTAGACAGAGGAAAGACTAAGAATATTAGAGAATTTTTAGAAGCCTGGTATTTTTGTGAATCGTCAATCAATAGACACATTGACATGAACAAAATCTACCAATCGATAAGAAGGAATTCTCACACAGAAAGGGTCAAAGTTCAAGTCAAAGAAACAATCAATACTAATACAAGTAGCCTAGAGGGTAACAAAACACAAAAACAACCAAAGAGTCACGTTCAAGGTCACCATGAGAGATAACTAATGAACTCGTGGAAAAATCTGACTTCAAAGTGAAGTATGCGCTGAAGATGTCGCCTAGTAGGGCGATGAAAGCTTCGCCAATGAACCATGCACCTCACAGAACACAACTACATTAAAATATCCATATACTGTTTATAAGTCTTGTCAGTAGTACGCAACGAAATGTGATCCGATTTCTATCGATCACTTCCTGTGTACCGTTTATAAGCATGACAACTTGAAATGATTCCCCACCATGCAAAGGTCCTTATTTTGTTAGTAGATGTAGGTTAGACAGTACAATTACTATAACGGATGACTGTGCCTCGTTGTATACTGTATGTATGTCGTATTCTTTTCTTTGAGAGAGTTTGTGAACTTATTATTTATTTGTTGTGTTTATTTTGACTTTTTTCATTAAGTGATTGCTAGTCCTAAAAAGTGTACATAAAAATTAATTATTGTTTTTCTTTTCATTTGATTTTTAGTGAAATCACCTACAGAATTAATCATTACAAGCGGCTTACAGTGTGACCAGTTTCCTTACTCCTTGGATGGTATTGCAATCCAAGTGAAAAAACCACAGGAACACACTTTTGTAGGTTATTTAATTCCTCACTCTTCTTTTGTATTTGTGAAAATATAATGAAATGGATATTTAATTTATTATATTACAATGATTTAATTCATTTTATAGTTAATATTTAATCAGAACAAGATTAATCTGAGTGAAGTTGTTTTTTTTTTGAGTAATTTCTCCCTCTGGTTCTACAGTTATAAGTATATTAATGTTAACTATTTTGAGGTGAGGTACTGGTCGCTGGGAGGGGAGTAATCAGTATCTTGGTGTTCCATCAGATGTTGGTAATTGGAGCAAAACACAAACCGCATAATCAAACTCACTGTCTATTTGTAAAATCTCAACGAAATTGAAATGATCAATTCCAACGTTTCATTCGGCAATCTGGTCCAAACTTCTTCAGGAAAACTAATCGAAATTAACATAACAGAGGATTACATGCAAAAGAAACGTCTTGTTTTTGAAACACACACCATTGTATACTGCATATACACATATGTTTTTTAACAAAAGTAGGCTAATTTTGTTAGTCTGAGGTCAAATTTTGATCACAGTTCATACAATTTTTGTTTATTATACGTGTTGATACCTGTTTCATGATTCATAGGACTAGACAAAGAATGTAAAAAACAAGAGATGTTATACATGAACATACAATTTTGTTTATTATACATGTTGATGCCTGTTTCATGACTTATGATTGGACAAAGTTTCAAAAAACAAGATATGTCCTTTTATATATAAACCTCTGTTATGTTGATTTCGATTAATTTCCCTGAAGAAGTTCGGACCAGATTGCCGGACGAAACCGAATTGATCATTTCAATTTCGCTGAGATTTTACAAGTATAATTTTTTACAAATGTCTCCTTCTCATTGGGCGCTCAATTATTTTGGAACTATTCGGTCAAATCTTGATCACAGTTCATATGAATCACCGTCTATTTCTTTCGCTTTTTTAAAGATTGGTAAAAACCTAGCATTACAACTGACACTACACAATACCTTGTGAGCCCCAGTTACACTTTACTTCGAGACTCTGGCCAAGAGTTGAATTCTCCTCTTATTGATGCCACATAGTGGTTCGATTATCCATAAAAGCTGTTTAAAAATAATCTAGCCAATATGACGGCTGGAGAAGTAATCTACGCGTTTACTTTCCCCATTTTATACTGCAGCATTTATTGTAGCCGACCTAGTACTCATCTGAGGATTCCGACATTTAATTAATCTAACAAGGTAGAAGCAGATGAATGGGTGTAGCTTCTTATTTTATTTCTTTGCTTTCCGAGTAGAACACAATGCTTCAAGCTTCAACTTCGAAGTTCCACCAGCAGTGGTGTTTGTGTTTTACGCCCAATCTTCCCCTTTTTTCGGGCGCATGATCTGAGGTGGAGGTGTGTTTCGGCCGGGAATTGAAGTCTAGATCACATGCATGGTTGACAGGGATTCTACTATTGAAGCGCGGGCACAAAATATTGAAGGAACGCGTCTCTATTCCGAGATTCAAACCTGGGGGTCACCCAATACTGCAGTCAGAGACGTCATCATTGAGTTCTTCAGCTCGGTTTTTATTCTCTGATAGCAGTAGTTGCAGTTTCACATAGAAGTGTATATTGTGAAAACCATTTCGTGTCAATATGAATATTATTCTTACCTAAATATTATGGCATTTCTCTTTGTGATAACTAGTCTTCACATATAAGTTGCCTGTGAAAGCTCTTTTCAGAATTACAATGAAAAATTCTCAATTAAATCTTTGGTTCAGCAACACCAGAAACGTCCACTTCAGTCATACATTTTTTCTATTTCTCTTTGTAGCGGGAATACCAGCCAAGGACATTACCTGATGCGTGATGATGAAAAACTGGCTACTGAAATCTTGGTTATGTAGGGACTTTGTTTGATTGGTTGGAGGATTTCATGCAACTTCATTTTAAATTAAGCTGAATTCAAAAAGACTACATATCACCTAAAATCTCAGTTACCTAAATTACATATATGCGGGGGGGGGCGGTGACGATGAGTTACCTTTGTTTTATTGAATGGAATATGATAATTGGTAACGTCAAGCAATTAAATAAATATCTCATTACTGATACAGTTCGTGTATTATAGTGCCAACTGTGTTTCTTGTTCTTATTTCGCTTACTATCTATTTCCTGTTTATTTATTTCCAACCTTTTTAGAAAACTATGATAGAAGAAATCAAAGATCCAAGGCTCACCTGTGTGGATTGGAGTGAACCAGAAGTTAGTGGAACTCAAAATTTATTTTTATCCTTTTCTATTGCTTACCTTCTTTGTGAAGTAACTATTCACAACTCTTCATTATCTGAATGAATTTTTATTTCCAGTATTGATTCACAGCTTTCCTCAAATCCAACTGTATTTTTGTGTAAATACGCTGTTCATAAGTTGGAAGTTCATATTTTTGTCCAAAAACGTCTATCACAGTCTAATACAAAAGTTAAACAATGCTATGAGTCTGTAGGGATTCGAAATAATATCATTTTAGATTGTGTTTTTTAACCCAAAGTTATTGAATAGCTGATTTTATTCCCTGTTAGCGAATCCAGAATTCGGAAACCATGGGCAGTTAGGCTTCATCGTAGTAACTTCATTGTAACGGACTAGCATTAAAACCCGGTAGTCTGAAGTGCATTTCTTTACAAGGTGATGAGCATGCATTTCCGAATAATTGTTAAGAAATAATTACTTCTTCAAGCATTCAGTGTTCATTCTGTTTTGTAAATTCAAAAAATCTTTTGAATGTGGATACTACTCGTCTGTTTTAGTGACTGTCTGGTCTTCTAATCTCAAGGTTAAGTGTGTAAAGGTAGGTGTTCTCACAACTGGACACTACTCCTTGTGGCTGGATGCACATAGCTGTTGTTTTTTTGATGAAGTCTTTAAAATACCAGCATGTGCCATTGTATTACAAGTTCGTGTTTGTTGTCTTCATGATACAGTACAAGTAGGGACAGTCACTTCTCAAAAGGAGAATTATTCTCTTAACTTGTTGTTTTTAGGGTCATCTGTGTAAATCGAGCTCTCTTTTTAAGAATGTAAACAGAAAATTTATCTTTATGGAACTTCTCATCGTATTCTTTTTACTTAACTTCTAGATGTGAATTACCTGGGGCTTTCAAGTGACTGTTTGTTTATATTATAAATCTTTTCACTTTAATTTATTGTCATTCCTAAAGAGAGAAATTAAGACGAATTACTGGTATTGGTTGATTCCACAATACCTTTTTATCATTGAGATTTATCAATCCTCTAGAGGATAACATCTTCCAGAATCTTGAACCAAACATAGAAGATGCTTGAAATTTATCAGTTATGTGTGCTTCTTAGTGGAGAACTGGATAAACTGATTTTTCTCACTGTGCAATTAATAGTTATTTTGAATTGTCATCATACCTTTCATTGCCTTTATGTTTTAAGAATTTTCGTTAGATCTTTCGTGCTACTCATAAGTAGTATAAATTTGGTTCTAAACGTTCTTCGTATTCATGTGTTTCAGACCACTGAGAGTATAATAAAACTGCGTTTAGTCTAAAATTGAGAAAGTTAGGAACCAGTCATTTAAGAAAAAGGACTGTTTATTTAGTATTAAAACGCAAATCAGATACATTATGGACGCCAGCAGATGCACTACATAAAATCTCATAATTTGTGTGAGAGTTTGGAGGCGACCGGGACTGAATCACGCAGTTTTCCTAAGGAACCACTGCCTAGCCTCTGACCTAAAGTCTAATCCACAAAGCAGTGGAATAGCCCCAGGAGCTACGTTTCAAATATTTTCCGGTGTCCAAACCACGTTCACACCCTTTTCGATCTTTTCTGACTCTTGATTCAATGTACACCACTGTTTTGGAATGAAGGTTTTCCAGCTTCCAGTCCGGTTGTAAGGGCCAGACACTCACATTCACCCTTATACTTTTATGATGAACACTACCCTGTTCAGCCGGTAAACGGGTTTTAGCTAACAGAGGCTATGAATGTGTGGTCACATGCGAGCATTTCGAGAGAAAGATTAAAGGTTATCCATCCTCGGTTCTACTACTGGGTCGTCTATGGGAGCTATAACAATCGATAACATTTTATAAGTCAGCATGAAGATAATAACTGCACGAGTGAAGTTTTCTTCGAGTGGATAGACATTTATTTAGGATTTTCACACGTCATTAAATTCTACTAGACTGCAAATGTGGTTGATATATCTGTCGCATGTTGATAGTTTGATATTGGTCTGTATTGTAAATGGTCGAACTTTTTCACTCATCGTATTCCAACCTTCAACATATATATATATATATATATATAAATATATATATATATATATATATATATAAATGCCAACAAATAACACCAATTATCATCAATAAGAGAAATCTAACGGAAGTCATCCGTTTCACCTATCTGACATCGGTAGCATCTCCTCAACTACAGGCGGAATACGTGAGTTTTCTGAAAGCCAGTCGGGATCAGCGAAGCAAAACAAACAACATTTTCTTATTCTGAAATCAATGTGGATATGTAAAACACTGCTTTATGGTTCAGAGACTTGACGCGCCTGCGTCACCAGAAGTATTTCTTACAGTCAACCGCACAGACTTTTATCAACACCTACTTTCTCTCTATGCTGAAATTCACTTTGCCGAACGGCAAGTATAAGCAGGCAGCGGGTTAGTCAAGAATCTCTTGTCCAATACATATGCAGAAAGAAATTGAGACGAATTAGATACACTATGATAAAACTACATCAGACTCGAATGGGAGCCGAATGGTTAGCAACAAGTTGAGCGTTGTAGGGCTACACGGAGGTAATCATCTGAAGAGGAAGTAACCGCTTGTGGAGCTAGCTGAAAGTGATGACAGAGATGTACAGTCGGGACGCAAGGAACGGGTAATCATAATCATAACGATAACAGTGTATCTCTATATTGTTGTTGTGTGATAAATCTCAAAATAATGACCACCACTTCTTTAGACGGTTGTTTTTCCCAAGGTATCACTCACAGCTTTAAACCCTACAAATCATAGTCATGTTTGTTGTGGCTTTGAAAATGGTGATTGGTACAAAAGTCAAACAATTTTATATACTCAATGAGTAGTTCAAACACTTCATATCTAATGATTGTTCCAGACTGGAAGACTGTACTTACAGGACCATATTTCGTCCTATTTAAGTATATTTATGAGTTGCGAAGAATGTGATAAGCTAGAAATTTTTCTTAGTTGTTAATATTTTACTTTTCTACCGGTTTATTTGTCGTTTTTCTGTCTTTTGCAATTAGGAAAGTAAATTACTCCACCTCATCTACCTAACATTAACGAAGTTTAAATTAGAAACTGGTCGTTATCCTAAACCATGGTACGTGTTTATTGGTATTTTATGTTTCTTTCTTTTGCAATTATGTCTACCGGTTTTTACTACAAAATGAAATAATTGTCATTTCGGTGACTCACCTTAGGGTTATGGAAGCGTAGACGTGTTATCTGCATACTAATCATCTCCATGTTGAGTACTATTTCCCAAGCGTTCATACTATTACTATTTCCTTAGGTTCCGAGTGGAACGTAGGCCTTCAAGAACACATCTCCATTCCTTCCTGTTCTCTACACTCCTTCTTTGCTGGTTTCACGATTGTCAATAAATTTTCATCTCCTCTTACAATCTTCTTCATGTCATTCTCTAACCCACATGTCCAACTCGTCGTTTCCCATCAGGAGTCTAGTGGAGTCAGTCAACAATTTTCCCAACGTGTGTCCCAGATTCATCTCCATTCACTTCAACATACTTGTTGGGTTACAGTTTCCTGGTTGGTTCGTACTCAGAGTTCCTTGTTGCTGATCTTTTCTGAGATAGTATTTATTACCATAGTGTTTAACAGTATCAATTAGATTGCTGATTCACAAACGATTATAGTGGTATCAAAATAATCAAGATATCTCAAATAAGAAAAGAGTGTGTCGGTGGTATAGCCAACCATGCACATGGTCCGGGGTTCGATCCCCCGCCGACGCACTCCTTTACCTCTCTAGGCCAGAAATAATGCTGACAAGGGAGAAAGGTTGGGCATGAGGCTAGCAACCCCATCCTGTAAAAATAAACACTGCTACAGAATCTTCAAGCCACTAGCTTGAAGCCCTATGTTCCACTGGGGAATGTGAAGGAAAAAAAATATGAAAAGAGGTGAACAAGAGAGAGAGAGAGAGATAGACAAATGAACATCCTTCATGTGATTGTCTACTCGGTCTCGTTTTAAAAGACTGGCACCACTTACTTCGAATGCCTTCCAACGCATTAGTTATAATCTCTTCAAATAAGTCATTGCAGTTTTGTTAAATGTTATAAATTTCTAGACATTTTAGGGTGATTGCATCTGTTGCCATCAAACTTATCATAATTTTATGACTATGACATATTTGACACAAGGCATGAATTCTGCACTGCTTGTTTAAAGCAGGATTCAAAAAATTCAGTAATTTTTGTTGTGTTTAACTGAAGATATTCTTAGAATTCTTTCAAATGACTTATCTTATTTCTGATAATACACTTCATTTACTGCTAAAGTGTTTTTATCAACAACTGCGAAGATAGTGTGTTGCATAATTCCAGTGTTACATCAACTGTGAATCGTTAAAAACTACCTACATCAAGAAGGGGTGTTTGCTAAGTTACCTAAACATCACTATGCAATCGGTTCGCTCATTTGATGAGTTGGACTGCGATTACACGCAGTCCAGAGAAACGAATCAGTTTAATCCACATGAATTCTGGTCAGCTCATTGGATAAACTGTTAATACAGTATTAAATTCGTCATTTTCAAGGATTTGATTGGTTGGTTGCAGGTTTGATCACAAGCTGACGTCACTTAGTGAACCACTGGAAAGCCAACATGGAGTACTGGACAGCCATTTCGTCCTCGTTTGGGACTCCTATTCAGTACGTACCCGGTGACGTTCGGACCCAGAACCCTCTGGTTACAAGGTGAGCGCTGGAAGTAATCGAAATCGCTATCAGTAGTAGTGTTCTCTTATGGTTGCTTAAATAAAGTTTAATCTAATACTGCTATTTATGTCTTCTGTTCACTGACTTTGTCTCGTTGTTTTCCCCTTTTTCTCTACATTATTAACAATAAGGGATGATGATGACTGGAAAATATTTCGTGATCAAATGTACACCTTGCAGAAATTACATTTGATGAATGTAAGTTCTTTTCTTAAATGGAAAAAACGTTGTCTGCAGGTGTGTGTGTGTGTCTTGTGTCGTGTTGTTCTGTTTTGTTTTATGTAATTGAGAGAGAGAGAGGCGATTTAGAACAAAGACAGGAAACAAATGTGTTTATTTTTCATGATAATTATTACATATCATATGATTTAAAATCTCTACCTTAAGATAACAAAACTTGTCTTCGTATGCCTGTTTATGTCTATGCATGTATGTGTGTGTGTGAGTTCTAAGAACAGCTTATAAGGCATGAGCTATTCTTGCATACGAAGACTGTTTGATCTGAATAAACGAAATTGAATTTTATCATCAGTGCGTTTGTTGTATATAGATGGCGTCACCCAACTCTGGTGGTGGTCTGTTTGTGTTTTTATACTAATTGACTAATAAATTTATGCCATGCATGTAACATATTAGTGATTAATGTAAAGGCACATTATCTTTGTTATCTTTTTTTCCTGCACACTAAGAGTATTAGTTAGTATTAGTAGCAAGCATTAGGAGAAAAGTGAAATAATAAGGCAAGGAGATAAGCAGTTGATAAACTATGGACGAAATAAAATGGACTCATTTTAATTCTGTTCTATGCCCTGCTACTGTTTAGTGCCAATTATGGAATAATTCTCTGAATAAGTGAAGAGATGTAGAGTCAAGTTTATTATGAAAAGTGATATTATCTGTCCGCAGTTACATTGGAAGAATGAGAACTTAATGAGTTAGATTAATAAGTCAGATTAATAATTGCAACTTGTCATTATGAAATTTTGATGACTATCACTATTCAATCGCTTCGATTTGGTCATAAGTTGACGGGTGGACGGGGTAATCAAAACACACCTCCATTTCATCCTTTTCACTGCAGTCCTCTTTCTTTAGCTGGCTTCACGACTACTCATTGGCTATCATCTCCTTTTCACACGATCTCCTCCATGTGGCTCTCGAACCCATGTGTCCAACTAGTCTTTTCCTGCTCGGGTTCATCTCGAGTGGTGGCCTGACGCGTGTGTGTGTTGAGCTATGGGTTTTTGGCTGGTTCGTTCCCTGTATTTGAAACATTGCCGCCTAGAAAAGTGAAGGAAGTGATGTCTATCAAATTTCTTTTGTCCATAGTGATTTGGTTGATGATCTTCACCACTTTCGTCCTCTGTATATTTTCCTGATGTCCTTGCTTTTCTCTGCCAGCTTCTTCTACCAACTTGTTGGCTTTCTCCTAAGTCATCGAGTTTGTGTGACACTAGACGTAAATCATCTGTGCGGAATCCAGATCTTTTAGAGTCTACTTATCAGTCCAGTGTATTCAAGTATTGTCGCTTCCCACTCGCAGTTTGATGCATAATCCACTCCACCACAATTAGGAATGTCATTGGTGATAATAAGGAGCCTTGTCTTACTCCTGTCTTCACTTCGAAGGCTTGGCTGAGTTTTCCGTTGTGGACTGGTTGTTGCGTGCCATTGTTATATAGCTGTTTAATACATCAGATTTTCTTCACTTCATAAGGTTTTAATCATCTAATTACTCGCTTATATAGCAACGTTTACTTATCCGCAACCTACCAGTATGCCTTTCTTGAAGAAAATAAAGAAGAAATGTAGTAGAAGAGTGGATTTGCTTCAGGCAGAATAGTATTGTGTCACGTAATATACTGCTGATTTCTGTTTTACGTGAAAATCTTCTACATAGATCAATAAAATACACTGAAAAATTTTGAACTGTGTAGGATAGGATAATCTTTAGGATAAGGTTGATACTATTATGAATACTAAAAATAGTACCGCGGTAAAAAAACTTGAGTCACTTAAAGTCGAAAGTTCTTCAAAATGATTGGATAATAAGCTACTGAAGTTATAGTTTTCAAATATATCCTGTTGACTGTGAGGTGAGTTTTATTCTTCTCGTCTTGCTCACCTAAAGTAAAAAGGCCTTTATTCAGTTTTCATTTTTCCTTAAATTTGCAATTTTCATCATGACACAGCTGTCGTCTTTTCACACATTATAGCAGAATATTGTGACTACACTTTTAATGCAGTAATTTGTAATAATGGAAAAAAATTGTAGCTCAGGTGGCTGATTTCATTGTTGTTGTGTCCCACAAGTTAAATACTTTAATAGTAAAGATTCTATTATCTGTCTAGACAACATTATCAGCGCTAACTTCACAGTAAAGTGATCTTTTAGAATTTTCTATGAATAAAAGAAACGTCATGACTGATTTCACTGGCTGCAGTTTGTTCGCCACTAGATTACGCGTCAGACTGTGGGAAGTAAGGAGACAGGAATACACTGGACCACCGATAAGACAATCTAGAGTTCGCGTGCGGATGATCTATGTTTAATGACACACAAACTCGAAGGCTTCCAGCCGATGAACAACAAACTGGCGAAAGATGCTGGTGGGAAAGATAGAACTCCAGGTGAATTTAAAGAAGGTGGAGACGGAGGTAATGAAAATAACCAACTAACAGCAACAATAACAACGACCAGCACCAATTACCATCAACGAGAGCGATTTAACATAGGTTACCTCCTTGACTTATCTAGGCAGCCAACACCGTTTCAACTACAGGTGGAAAGGCTGAAGATTTCAAAGAGAACCAGCCAGCCAGTTAGAATTGGAAAGGCGAAATACGCCTTCATCAACCTGAAACCAGTTTTGGAAATCTGCTGCACTCTGCCTCAGAATAAACAACAAGATTCCGATTTTCAACACAAATGTGAAGTCAGTTAGTTAATTCCTTCTATATAGGTCAGAAACTTGGCCAGTGTGTCATTCACGAAAAGCATTTCCAACAAGTTACTGCAGTCTTTCACCAACAGTTGCCTTCTCTGCCTCCATAGTGAAGATCAAATGGCCACCGGGCCGGAAAGAATTAGTAACAAGAAGCGGTGAGAACAAACCAACCAAGAGCTGATCGCTCAACAAATATGTAGAAGAAAGTAAAGATGGATCGTGAACCCAACTGAAGGGGATAGTAGAGAATAGAAGAAAGTGGAGACGTGTTGTCGAAGCCCTGTGTTCCACTTGGAACTCAAGGGAATAATAATAATAATTAGTTGGACCCAGCGATTTTCCTTTCTATCGTTGTATTCACACCTATATTGGTACTAACTGTATCATCGATTTGATGTAATACAGAAATGCTTGTTATTTACAAATTATAGTGAATACTTGGCTTTTAGGAGTTCAATGGTATTCTTTGTGTAGACGAACAAACAACATTCCATAATTCAACCACCCATCTCTAGATATATAGCTTACAGAACACAACAATATCAAAAAGTACTTCCTCCTTATTGGTTTACGGATTTCAAATTCCATCTGTATACCGTAGACTTAATAGCTGTGATCCACTTGTTGACTTTTAGGGGAAGAGGATATCGATTTTCCTTGTACGAACAGTCTCAGCATCACGCCTGTTGCTCAATAATACTTCCTTATACCTTGAATAATAAACTGTCACATGTAACCATGTCTGTACATCGATTCACGTACTCTTGTGCAGAAACATTGTAGGTCTTTAAGTACGATTCTTATCAGGAATGACTGACAACACTATACTATGCGATTGCAAATGTTGGTAACAGTTAGTCGACTAACCTATGAATGTGTACAGGGAAGTAGAGTGATGATCTGATCCCATTGGTGATTAATGTCTCTTTCCAACTCCAAATGCCTTTATCCTACTGGACTCGATTACCAGTTAGTTAGCCAATATTTCCTCAGATAGTACTATCAGCGTATTTTATTTTTTCAAGTGTTCCAGTAGTAGGGTTTCAAGTTAAGATTTTGTCATAAATCCAACATCATTTAGAGAATCATTTCAAACTAAAGGGTGCAGAGCTATCATGTTTTAGTTGCCTCCGCAGCCTCAGCGGAAGGCTGTTGTATGACCTTTTTTTCTAACCTAAGCTTTCATATTTTTGCTTTTTCATTTCTATTTTTTCCTAAAATGCAGGCAAATATTGTTTCTCTAATTACAGATGAGAGTTCAAATTTCCATTATATCCTTTATCATTTTTTTTCACCTTATTTGACAGAATAGAAATATTTTCCAAATGGTTGTATTAATGCCCAAAATAGTTTACATGAAGAGTGTATGTAGGATTAATCTCAAATAGAAAAAATATAATATTCAGGGCTAATATATACATTGATTAATATTTCAACCGGTTGACGGATTCTAGCGCGTATATATATATATATATATATATATATATATATATATATATATATATATATATACTCAAAATGTTTTATCCTAAGAGCACAAATATTCTAGGGATGTTTCATTACTATATATGGGTATTCCATTTAGGCCTACTTTCAAAGGCAGTACTCATCATATTCATATGACCGTCAATATAACTAGTAGATTTACGAGTCTATTGTTCTCATCAGTATTCTCAACGATAACCATAAAAACTCGATACTTCTGACACATGACGCATAGAAGAAAGGAAGAAGGCAGACAGTTGAGTAGAGAGGTCTTTACTGTCTCAGATCAACAATGGGAAGTAGTAATCATAATAATGCCATACAATATGTATAGAGAGACATTTAAAATAATAGAAACCAATCAACTGACTAAATTTTTCCATCCAGGGTCAATTAGCAGGCAGTGTATTTGATCTGTCTAATGTCACATAAACTCAAAGACCTACAGGCGAACACAAAAAAAGAAACTAGTAGAAGAAACAATGAAAACAGGACTACAAGTAAACGTACAGAAGAATGAGGTGATGAAAGCAACCAACCAACAACAGCATGCATCAGTCACTCTCAAAGGGAGAAATTTGAAACAGGTTGCCTTCTTGATTTATCTAGGTAACATCGTTTCAGCTACACTTGGGAAGGATGATAATGTAAAAATCACTATCGGAGAAGCAAAAGGGAACTTCATCCCTGAAATCAGTGTGAAAATTTTCTGAACTCCAACTCAGCATACACAACAAAATTTGGATTTTCAACACTAATGTTAAGTCAATCATTCAGTCACTTCTATATGGGTCAGAAACTTACACTGCACGTCTGTTATGTACTGGTCGAGAATTTAATAGTCCTGACGCAAGAAAGACGGAAATCAGAAGACCACTAGGTTTGCGATGATACTTCTATTTTCCAAACACAAGGAGAATCAAAATGTCACACAAGTGTGTGAGAGCAAATATGAATGTCCGAAAGTGTGTGAACACAAGTGTGAGAGCGAATATTCAAAATGAACAAATCAATAGACAGTCTTAACATGATTGGCTAATTATAATGGAATATCGATCCATATATACATAGCAAAATATATCAGATTGTCAAACAAACACACATATTATATGGATATATATCAACGTCATTCACAACAGTCAACAGCGAACTTTTATCAGCAGCTGCCTTCGCTGGCTCAACACTGAAGATCAGATGGCCAGAAAGAATTAACAACAAGAAACTCTAGAAACAAATCAACCAATTACCTACTGCTCAAAAATATACTGAAGTAAATGGAGTTGGATAGCACACACGCTGAAGACAGCGTTGGGTGAGGTTGCGGATGAAGTCTTCAAATTTGTGGAACCCAAATAGGAAACCACAGTTTGGGCGTCTGAGGTTGCTTTTGCGGAGATCGTATGAAGAGGAGATGGGAGCTTGTGGTCAGTCGTGGGAAGAGCTAAAGAGGACTTCAGAGAACGGTAAAAATGGAGATGTACTGTTGAAGTCCTACGTTCCATTAAGAACCCGAGGGAATAATAATTTGAAAAAGACAAGATCAATTAATATGTTTAAAATAGATCTTCACATTAATACGAAATTTAGGGGTATATAATAACAAAACTAGGGATATATAACACATATGTTAATATTAGCTGGACAAAGATTGATAGGGAAATAGGCGAAAGTGGTAGATGACTGTTTTTTTCTCTTCGATTTGAGCACTCTTCAGCGGAGTATAAACTCATGATTTTATACACTGTCAAACTTGAGGGCTTCTGGTATAAAACCAGACTTGTTGCCACTTAACCATTGTGTGAACCCATTTTTCTTTGCGACGTTTTTTCTTCGACTCTTGGTCATGCCTGTGAAAGTATGTGAAATTATTATTATTATTATTATTATTATTGTATCCTTTAGTTCCTAGAGGAACATAGGGCTTCAGCTGCGCACCTCCATTGACTTCGGTTTTCTGACAACTTTTTCACCCTGCTCCAAGTCTGCCCACATGCTTTCATCTCCTCTTCACATGACCTCCTCCAAGTCACCCTCACACTGACGACCAACTCGCCGCCTCCCTTTCGGGTTCCACTCGAGCAATGGCTTGTCAAGTGATGTCACTTGATGGTTTCCTCAGCGTATGGCCAATCCATCTCCATTTCTTTCTGCCTATTTGTTTCATAATCGGTTCCTGATTGGTTCGCTCCCTGTGAAATACATTTGGAAATCCACAAAATCAAATACATGGCTTTTATATTGCATTGTATCGGTTAGTCAGCGTAGTTAAACAATAGCAACCGAAGAAATGGAAAAGTACAACTGACTTTGAGTAGATCAATCAAAATAACCAGTGTTTTTCGCATGCGAAATTCCTTTGATTTACTAGAAAACTACAGATACAATAGGAATAAGGCAGCCTAATCGTAGTCCTAACGAGCTATCGAGTTTGGAATAAGATTATGTCTTTATTTCGTGTACAGCGCTCATAGTGGTACTATGATAATAATGCTGGGTCCCGTTATCCAACGAGTAGTATAGGTTCAATGGTCACTGGTGCGTTCGTACTTCTTCATTTCTATTCTTTAACTTTTTTCATCAGTGTACGTTAACATTTTCTAGATGAGATGGATTACAAATGGTCGTTGGTCATTAGAGAAAACCCAGAAACCGTGATATTGTAGAATAGTCGTCATTTACAACATTGGTGTTTTTAAATACTATCTATTCGTTAAGTAAGATCAGTGGAATTACAGTTCACGAAAAATGCATAAATTATAATAAGCATGGAAATGTAATAGTAAATAGAATATCAAATTAAATTAAGAAAATTTCCACAACAAATTGGGGATCATTGAAACCTTGATGACCAAGGTAAGGACAGTGTCTGAACCAGCTTCCTTTGGATGAATAATGTTAGGTTTCGTGATGTGGATCCCAACGACCTCAGCAATATGTAGTAGACAAACTCTTAAGGTGAAGTTAAGATTAGTTCTTATGCGGTGGATGACTTTAAAGGCCTCGTTAACATCAATTTTGTGTTCTGTATCCACGAAATGAAATGGAATAGGGCTGCGAATGGATTTTGTTTCTCCTTTACTTAACCACGCAAGATGATGTTCGGAAATATAACATCAAGAATATATATATTATATATGAAAATTCATGGAAGGAAATGTTAACATGCACTTATACCACTGCAATTCGTTTTAACCTATATCAAGGAAAGTTCTCAATTTTCCGTTTTTAGGCTATCATCAATGGAAGTCTGTAGTTTCCTCAATGATCCCATTTTTATTCTTTGTTTCGTGTTTCAGTTGAATTATAGGCGCATACTTTTACTTACTTGCCAATTAACTAACTTACCACCTAGAAGTATATATATATATATCTTGAGGAAGTTTGACTCAGTGTTCTGTAATCATTTCCGTTGATGTGTTGTTAATTATTGTGAGGTCATCATTATCTCGGTTGGAATAATATTGTGTGCGTGACTTCAACCTTTAGTTAGTTGGCTAGTTGAATAATATTGAATTTTGGAACCAAATAAATTAATTCTGTTTTCTCTGTAACTAGTATCATAACACTTCCTTTATTAAGTAGATAACATTTACTGCTAAAATGGAGTATTGTTAAATTCCTTATGTTAGATAGTACAGTATAGTCAGTAATATTGAAATCAGGCAAACTGTGTGTTGATTAAAGAGGGAAAGTCAAACGGTAGGGTTGTGAAGCCGTATCAGTTGAAATAGCTGTGGACATGTGTTACGTCAGACAAAAACATAGTACTAATCGATGTTATATTTAGCCGTTTCTTTTTAGCCTCATAAGGAGGTGTAGACTGTGTGATAGGGGGGCACTATAAGTCGAAATGGCTCAAAATCGTTCATGATGACACCGATGTATTGACTTTTAATTATCTTTCAGATTCTGAAAATCACCACTAATGTTCATCTAATTATTCAGTCTTACATAATCTTATTCTATAACTGAAATTCGAACTGGTTACATTTTTGGGGAGATAATAACTACTCACCTGGTTTATTTTACATAGGACACAATAATACACTATAATCTACTAGATGAGACATTGCATTTTTTCTTCATTTTTAATCACACAGGATGTTAAAATTGATGAGTCTTTAGCTAAACGTTTATCTTCTGCTAGTCAGGGACAGTTAGCTCCATTGTGTGCTGTTTTTGGTGGTATAGCTGCACAAGAAGCAATGAAGGCTGTAACATCAACATTTACACCGTTTAATCAATGGGTAAGTAAGACATTTTTTCTGAAAACATCAGTATATATTATCAAGTGTATGAATTATAAAACATATATTTAATGTACTAGGGTGAAGTGAGAAGACAGGAGACTGTGTGATGGACTTTTTTATGAAGAAAAAACACCATGTTAATACATTTTTAGCACATAAAATGTCCATCTCAAGCAAAATACTAAGCTGCATCATCCTGGAGAGAATCAAACACGCCACCCTGGATGAAAAACTTCTACCGGAACAGGTTGGAGAAACAAGTCATGTATTGATCAAATTGCCACACTGCGGATCATCATTGAACAAAGCTTGGAATGACAGTCACCTCTCTATCTCAACTCCATCGATTTTAAAAAGGTCTTCGACAGTGTCGATCGAGAGGTGATTTAGCAACTACTTTGCTACTACGGGGTGCCATCAACAGTTATACATCTCATCCAACAGTTGTACGACAATGCTGCATGGCAAGTAATCCACAACGGGAAACTTACGGAATCCTTCGAAGTGAGGACGAGGGTAAGGCAAGGCTGCCTACTATCGCCAATGATTTTCCTGATTGCAGTAGATTGGATAATGCCATAGACAACGGCCAATGAGGAAACAGGCATAGAATGGACTCACACAAAAAGGAACTTGGAGGATCTGGACTTCAACGATGATATCTGTCTGATTTCACACAAACTGAAAAATATGCAAGTGAAAAGCAACAAGTTGGAAGAAGAATCATCAGGAGAAGATAGGACTTCAGGTGAACATAGATAAAACAGAGGTGATGAAGATTCCTGACCAACAGCAACAACAGACAACTATCAGCCAGAATAAATGGGAGAAATCTGAAAGAAACAACCTCCTTTACCTACCTGGGAAGCATAGTTTCAAGTACATGGAGATGGAAACGACATGTATTTCAAAGCAACGTTCGGGAAAGCAAGACGAGCTTTCATTACCCTCAAGTCTGTATGGAGGTCAACAGCACTCAGCATCAAAAATAAGATTCGGATTTTCAACTCCAATGTGAAGTCAGTGCTACTTATCATACGGATCAGAGACTTGCATTGCTCGTCATGAAGAGCACCTCAAACAAACTACAGACCTTTATTAACAGTTGTCTTCGCTCAATACTACTCAAGATCATATGGCCTGCCAGAAAAGATCGGCAGTAGTGAGAGACTTCTGGGAGCGAACCGACCAGGAACCGATTGTGAAAGAAATAGGCAGGAAGAAATGGAGATGGATTAGCTGGCCATACTCTGAGGAAACCATCAAGTAACATCTCTAGCAAACTCGAAAGGGAACCGACGAGTTGGTCGTCATTTCAAGGGTGACTTTGAGGAGGTCATGTGAAGAGGAGATGAAAGCATGTGGGCAGACTTGGAGTGGGGTGAAAACTGTAGCAGAGGACCGAACGCAATGGAGACGTGCGGCTGAAGCCCCATGTTCCTCTAGCAATTAAAGGAAATAATAATACATGTCGACTAGGCCAGCGAACAGTAAAGTGTTCTGATTGGCTGGCAACTGGCCGAAGGTTAAAGCTTAAGACGAAAAGTCATCCAATGCAAGTATTTCTTCACCACAAAGTAAAGTAGATCCAGATGTGAAAAATGAACACTTCTACCTCGATAGATATTGCCTTAAATTGTTTTGTTTGTGGCTAATTTCTATCAATTTGCGTCTGTATTTCACCGATAAATTCTGTCAGTAGCACACGCCACGCTAACTCTTTAATGTGGCAATGCCGTCTGACTAAAAGTGAGCGTGATCATCTTGGTATAACATTTCGACCTCATGTTTGAAATTAATTCAATCTAGAAATTTACTTTCTTCTTCCTTATTCAACAAAAGAAGCAATGTTTTCCGACCTTTGACATACAGGATAAGCTAAACCATCTTTTAGCCCATTAAGCAGTTTCACGGTCATGTGACAAGTTTGTGCTGCATGTTATACTCCTTGTATGTGTGCGCATGTGTTGTTAAGCGTCTGTGTTTTTCACATAGTTAGTTGGACGCAAGTAAATAAATGTGGTTGAAATCCCTTAAACACCACTAATGATTATATACTCTAACTACTGGGAACGTGCATCGGGAGTCTAGTGGTAGAGAGTGGTTGCCAACCACGCACGTTGTCCGGGATCGGATCCTCACTCCTAAACGTCACCTAGTTTTACAGTGGATAGTAAGCCCGTAAAAGAAAGAAGGTCGGGCGTGAGACTGACAACCCCCACTCCTGTTAAACAACACTACAGCTACTGAAACATAAAAGCTATAGACCAATATTCCACTCACAATTCAAGCAATGAAGAAGTAAAGAAGAAATCATCTAGGCCGGTATAACACACTTATATAAACTCTCTCTGAAAACGAATTTTTTTTCTACCTTTTTCACCATAAAACATTACCCAACTACGATACATCATGACTGCAAATAAGGAAATTGAAGTGTTACTCAATAATCTCTTGCATTTCGACGCACTTGACAACTAGCCATACGTAATGTGTGCTGATTAATGATGCGACTTAGTCGCTTAAACCATGGTAGATAAAGTAATGTTCGTGTTAGTAACTCAGTTGATATAAGTCGACTTCGTAGACTAGTGAGCCATACCTCTACAAAAATCAGCCTACTTAAATTGTAGTATGTGAAGTTGAATTCAAACATTGGATTCACTGGTTAAAGGTTTAATATCTAGACTAATACAGCAGAGAGAATAAAAAGTCAACATACATTTATCGTCTTTTAACTCCACCGTACTCAAATTAAAGAACATTTTATCGTGTTTGAAAAGAAGGCATCAGTTTGTACAATACATAAAGTTTAAATTTTATACTGCTTAGTACTTTCAACACTTTCAACAATTCAAGAGTTGTTTTGTGCAGGGATTCGATCGGTTACAGGAGTCCACCATGAGCCAATATCGATTAAAAAACCATTGGAAGATCTGGGAGTACTGGACAACTGTTTCGTCAGCGCAGTCTGGGACTCTTCGTCAGTAAATCTCCACTGGAATTCGAAACCGGGGTTTTTAAAACACATAATTTGGGTTAGCCGGCCCACTGTGACTCAGATTTTCACTTCATCTTGAGTCATCACCCACTCTTAATGTAATCTAATCAGCAATGCGACTGAAGCCCTATGTTCCTGTAGGAATTAAAGGAAATAATAATGTGCGTCGGTGCCACAGTGGTAAGGATTCTCGCCGACCATGCACATGGTCCGAGGTTCGATTCCCTACCGACTCATACCTGATATCTATGGTCCGCCTGCAAAATCTAGGCTACCGATATCCATCCTGAAAATTCCATACTTGTACCAAAAATAATGTGTGGAATCAAGCTGTAATCAAAAATAAAAAAATAATATTAATGAAACTGCAGGCTAAGGGTATAATCTGACAGCAGAGAATAATAATTCATTGCTTTTAACCTTCAGTACGTTGTTTAAAATTAGATGAATGATGATGGATGCATAAAAGATTGTGTGATTTATTCAGAATTTCAGGTTGTGAATATCGTTGTTGGGGGTACTTTCATCTCATGAATGCCAAATTACGATGAAACGCGCCCCTTGGATTCCACTGGTAATCACCACCACGTGTTAAATGGCTTATACGATGGGTAATGTTGAGGTTAGGCGCCGAGTGTTACATGAAGAAGGTAAGTTGATAGATGAGGCTGTGAAGGTGAACACGTGATGCACATTTCGAGCTGTTGCCATCTTCAGTGAACAGTGTTAGTCGATATAGGATTAAAAACACAATATTCAGCGAAGAGACCGTTTTTCAACGTATTTATTATCAAGCTGTACAATCGTATATATATGGTGTTTTTTAAGAAATTATATCCAATGTGGGAATCAGGTCAAAGGTGTGAATACATGAAATAATAATAGTAGGAAATGCAATTAAAATATTTGTGATTATAATTATGGTTTAATGTCAAGTGGCAAAATAATTAATGTCATATATAGAATAATACATAAGGTGTTTAGATTTTGGGAAGGGGTACATAATTATAAGATTAATAGACGAATATAAAATGTTACATAACATGTTGTGAAATTTGAAAAGATAGAATTCACTATTGTAAAAATAAAAAAATAAAAATTTTGGGTTTAAAATGACAAGTGGGTCAAGTGGAAAAGATTCAGAGTGAGAATAGTAGTAATAATAATAAAAATAATCGTAGTAATAAGGGAAAGGTACATAGAATAACGGCCAAGGCAGAAGTAGGGATTGTACCTACTTCTTTTGTACAAAAATGTCTGACTTAAAGTCATGAATTGCCAAGGTCTCAGCTGTGTTTAGAAGTCTGTAACGAAGAAAACGTGGGAAGTTAGCATGGATTCTATATATGATCTTGAAATCATGGTTGGCGTTAGTGTGGAGTGACAGAAGTCGATCAGGTGTTCCAGAATAGAGCTTTACACACACTTCCTTTCTCCCTTGTAAAACCATGCTGGAATATGTTCTCGTATCCGTGTGGAAAGCACCCTCTGGCTACTGCCAATGTATATTACTCCACAAGAGCAGATGAACTGATAGATACAGATGGGAGCGGGAAGACGGTGGAGCTTATCTTTTACAGTAATGGAGAACAACTTGCGGTTGGTGAGCGTCATTTTTAATTTGCTGCAAAGAACGTCTTACTGAGTGATTTAGAGAAACGATTTTTGAGCATATCTGAAGCTTGATCACCTTTGAATTCTAAGTTCATAAATGAGGTTTTTTTTGGAACTGAGTCGGTTACCAGTTTAGACTACTTATCTTTCATGTTGCTGTCAATAAATCGGTTAGAGTAACCATTTTCTGCGAGTTTGGCTTTTAAGAAGTCAAGTTCTGAGTCAATGCAATCAGAACTACAAATTTCCCTCATCCTCAAGCAGAGCGAATGAATAAAGTTCCTTTTCCTGGAAATAGGCACCTAACTGTAAAAGCTAGTTAGTTGTCCGTTCCATGTACGTTTCCCGTGGATAGATCTTTTAAGAGATCAGGATTAGGCTGGAAAAGACTCAGCGGTGATGAAACTATAACCTTGCATCAGTCCATCAATGATATCTAAATGGGTTGATTTAGTAGTGCACAGAAGACACAAATGTGACAAAACTGGGTAGAGTGTGTACTCATCATATCTTCACCCTTCGACAAATTCTAAAACACAGGCATACTTGCTGGCGTCCAACAATTGCCACATTTCTTAACGCGAATTTGGAATTCGATTCCGTCTACCTAGAGGTACTATGGCAATGTTTGGCTGTGAAGGGATTGCCGACAAAAGAACTAATGGTGGTCAAACGAAGACATGGAATCAGTTCGTGAAATCTTTAACAGTTAGTTTGAACCAGTCATGCAGCAAGATGTAGACTTCCTGGTTGGAGTCCTCGGGATTCTCAGCACCATTTGCTGGAGACCATTAGTTATATGTTTCAAAATTTTTCTTAGTGGCGCAGATGTATTCATACTCTGTGACCCCCTCTGTATCTACTTAAACGTCATGTTCTACCATGTTACTATTCTTCTCCCTGATAATTTTGATTATCATGCTTGTTTCGAATCCACTTTCCTCTCTTTTATCTACACTTGGAGCGTGGCAACTTGAATTCTAGCGTTTCTGTGCAGAGCTCGTTGCGTTGAAATTCAGTCAGTCAGGCTACTGTTGCCACCGAGCTAGTAAATATTGACACATTTGCTTTTTTTCGACAATCGGATTGTATGAAGACGTTTAAGCACAAGACAGGATGAGACATTGAATAAGCTTTTTCTGCAGGCTGATTTCAGGCTTGAATTGTCAAGTGTTACTACGCCTATCTATACAACGGTGTCAAAAAAACTACAGGTCCATTTTCTAGTTTGTGAGCATCTCTTTCATCACTGAGTATTATTGCATAGTTCTCTCTCTCTATATATATTTTTGTCTCTTCGTCGTTCTATTGTTCACTTTTCTTAACAACATAAACAGTTATACCTTCAGTGTGCCTCTATCGTACCAACGGAAATGGATACCAAGTCTGTCGATTTTGAAAGGTAAGTCAAACACAGAGAAAAGGAGTGTTTTCTTCTCTCCTGTATGCATGAGCTTTAGACTGCTTAAACACTGTTGTTTCCGCCTGTTAGCCTAAGTGTTATCATGCAATCAGAGACCAGTTAAACTGACCAGATGGATTTATTCGTAAGGTTACTAGATGGATACTATGGTTGTTTAGATTTAGATATGCAGAGTAGGCTGGGACCTACAAAATAATGGCCCCGGGATTAACATTAATCTATTTTGGTACAGTTTACATGAATTAGTTTGTAGAGATTTGATTTATCTCGGGTTTGATCAAGGATTGGTATCAGTTAGAAACTCGTTGAAAAACCATGAAATACTGAACAGCCTTTTCGTTGCAAATTTCGGACACATCGACAGTACCAACCCACTAACGGGGTTCGAACCCAGGACCACTCGATTACAAGGCGAGCTAGATAGTCAACGACCTGATTGCCTTTACATAATAGAAGGATACAAATCGCCTTTTATTTCTAATAGTTGCTAACGTCTAGATACATATTGTTTTCTTGAATATTGCATACAAATATGTGTGTGATTTCAAAGGCATTGACGATGGGAAGGTTATTTTTATCTGTTAGCTTAGTACATATGTTGACGCTTTGCGTGTGTGTTTATATATTCGGAAAACTACTGCCCTTGCAACCAGAAGACCTTGGATTCGAACCCCTGTAGTGAGTGCGTACAGCCTATGGGTCCCAAACTATGACGAAACAGCAGTCCTTGATTTTCAGTAATCCTCTAACTGATATCAACCCACTAGATTCAAAAATAAACCGTGGATAGTGTTGAAACAAAAGAACATTGCTATTTTGCACTTAAGGTGTGAATATAGTGTTTGAACGCATCTACGCCAATTTTTTAAGATTTTATTTTAAACCACCTCTTGTGTAACAGATTCCAGTTACTACTTATCTTCAATTTTGCTTTCATTTTCCCGTTGATTGATTGACCCGAAATAATCGGCGTTTGAAACGATAGGTACCGTGTCCGAGCCCTAGTGGGGACACCACAGGTACGCGTTTTTTTCCTGGATTCCACTACTGGTCATCACTCATCAATTTTCTTCAGGTGAAATCCTTAGACATCTTGGAAACATCCGCACAAGGAGCCGACAGATTTCGGTTCAGTCAATCAACGAGAGGGAGGCGAAATTGAATTAAATATATATATTTTGCTGGTGTAATCGTCCGATAATTTCGTAGTATTTACTCTGTAGTATTTTAAATCTATCTATACATTTATTGTGTGTTCCATTGTCTTTTTGTTTCTTTTTTCTCAAAAAACACAATTAGTTTGATTTCAAGTCGTTATGCTGCTCTAGTTAAATGCATTGGTACTTCACATCTGCGAAGAATTCGTAATTTGAGTATTTTTATGGTAGGTTTCTTGTCTTATTATCATTTTGTGATATGTCTCACTTGTTAAATTTCTTTTGACTTTCCTCCTTTTTTACGGTGCATACCCAAAATGCTGCTAACAACTTGTCCTATAATCAAATACAGCAACATTATTAGCAACTTATTCACTTCGAGTTATAGATAGTCCTTGATTAAACATTCCTTCCTTCTATAAGTCACGAGTCCACACTGCTTCCATTTGATGTTATTTGGTTGTTGGCAATCAGCAGGCGGTCCCATAGACTCAAGTTTTCTGTTGAATGACACACGTCAGCAAGACGTGTCAACAACGTCCCTTGAAAATGGTTTTCCTACGGAGACTTTAACCTGTATCACCCATTAATGCAATTAGAGAAGTTACCACTGAACTGTTCGGACAGCAGTTCTTTTCCTGTAAGAGAAATCTGGATGCGCCGATGATTGGTTAATGGAGAATAATCAGTATCATGTCGTCTATCTCGTTGTATAGACTAAGTTCCATCAGTCAGGTTTGCATTGCGATCATGCAAAGTAGATAACTCGCCATCGTAGTCTAAATTGAATCAATATGGAAGTAGATTATGTTACTGTTTGGTAGTCACTACTGAATGTAACTGTAGAATTTAAGCACTGTGGTAGAATGTGATTCCATAATAGGTAAGTTTTCTACAGTTTTCACACAGTGATGCAGCATTAACAACTGGATAACGTCTCGAGCAGAATTTATTGCTCATAATCATATCGACTTAGTCACACGACTTCATGATTTGCTTTATATATGCACTTCTCTTCCTCACTCTCTCTCTCTTACCCATTGCGACATTTCGATTACATGTGTGCGGTGTTAAATCCCTGTCTTTCCACCTAAATATATTAGTCTTTAATACTTTCACCCTCTCTCACTCTATTGTGTGATTATATGCAAGTGAATGCAATGCCACGACTGAGTTTTTTTTCCGAATTTTTATTTTTGATTACAGCTTGATTCCACACTGTATTTTTGGTACAAGTATGGAATTTTCAGCGTGGATATCGGTAGCCCAAATTTTGCAGGCCAACCATAGATATCAGGTGTGCGTCGGCGAGGGCTCGAACCCCGGACCATGTGCATGGTCGGCGAGAGTCCTAACCACTGTGCCACCGACGCCATGCTAGATTATTAAATAAAACGACAAGAAGATGATGGGTTAGATACCTAATATTTATAGGAAACCGACACGCTCTAATAAATACTTCAACTTTAATTCATCTTATTCAGAATCGGTAAGGATAGTTTGAGTTAAATGTCTATAAAATCGGGCCAAGAGCCTAACTAGTAAGCCAGAAAATTTTTATAATGAAATCAAACGAATAAAGGAAATATTATTAGTGAATAACTACCGACTAGAATTTTTCAGAAATGTATAAAGACCCATAGAAAAAATAAGATTAGTAATAAAATAATATAAGTAGTATGGGATTCAAAGCTTCTGTAGAACTGCCGTATAAAGAACTAACGTCAAAGGCCTAACGTAAGAAATTAAAATTTCAGGATAAGATTTCGTGGTAATGTAGTCTACTAAAATGAAAGTATTTTTTTTTCAACAAGTGTTTGTTTCATATTGTAAATTTGATTAATTTCTTGGTGAAATGTACTTCGTATAAAGTCTCATCATAAGACTATCAGTTTCATTTTAAATCAAAGTACTTCATAATCAGAGTGACATGAGAAAGAGAGAGGCATAAAGTGATGCTTGACCTGATTACTATGTTCAAATCTTCATACTATAAAATGGAATTAAAGTTTTGAAAACACATAATATTTCATGTTAGATCACGAACTGATATCAGTTAGAGAACCATTGGAGACCATGGAGTACTGGACAGCTGTTCCACCCTAGGCTGGGACTCATCGGCAGTACGCACCAGCTGGGTTTCTAAACCAGGACCTTCCAGTTACAAGGCAAGCTCGTATACCATTCAGCCACTGGGGTCTGATTCAATAGCTCATGAATTCAAACTTCTACCAATTCGTGATTTTTTAGAGCGACCTCCAGCCAGTGTCATCGGTGGGAACTCCATCCGTACTGTAATAATTAATTCACTGTTATGAATCTCATATGTTCCTTTTGTACATTTTTACACCCTCTGCACACTTGTTAAATTGACACTCAACTACCTCTATTCCCACTTAATAGTAATTGTAACCTTATCGAATTTCTAACTTTGTGCCTTTGAGTACTACGTGATTTACAACTTTTATTTTTTACTTCTAAAGTCACTTCTGAGTAATTATATCAATTGTGTCACACACCCTGTATTAGTCAGTAATAGACTACTAAACACTTTTGGCAAATATAAATACAGCACAGCCTGAGGAGATGATTTTGTCGATAAAGAGGCATTTTCTTCTCTGAATTGTCTTTTATATTTTCTTCATCGGTCGATGGGCATTTTCGGTGATAATTCTCAATTTCTTTATATTCTTTTCTTTGAGTCTCCGGTAAAGTGTTGTGACAAATTGTATTGGTGCAACAGTAATGCTGGATTCTATGTGAATAATGCCTTTACCCTCTTTCTCTTGCCTTGACAGGCCTATCTTATCAGAAAAAGTTGTCAATTGGTTGTGAAATAGAAATTATAATCACAATGGAAAGCAAACCTCTGGGTTTTTTCAGCTAGTATAGTTTAGCAATATGCCAGCTGAGCTCTACTACTCGATTCCTCTTCAAACAAAGGTTTCAGCAATTTGGATGAATAGCATGAGGAGGTAAAGTGGTAAACAGTTGTTCTCTCACGTCTGTGCTTATTCTAAACATGTTTATCGTTGCTTGTTTAGAAACTGATGTCTATTTTTGTGTTAATTCCATGTTCAACAACAGGTTGGTTGTGGTGCAATTGGCTGTGAGTTATTAAAGAATTTAGCCTTGCTAGGCGTAGCAAGTGCTCATCCGGATGATGCCTATTCATTGTCAGACACTGATCGTCATCTTCAACAGCAAAACCAGTGTCAGTCAAGGAAACGAGCGATATCTGCAAAAAAATGTGTTGCTTCATCAGATCCTGAAAAGAATGATAATAATAATAATCATAGAAGCGATGTGGTTATATCAGAATCGGTGGAAGTCCAATGTCTACATAGTAGTGATAATTGCAGTGGTAAGTGAGTTTTTCACTTAAGTGCTTAAAAGAGTGAGTCACTCGCTGCTTATCTCGCCTAACTTTTCATATCTGTTGGGATCAGTCAGTATAAAGTATCTGTATACATCTTCTCACCACCTTAGTCGATAAGGATTCACAACTAAACAGCAAACAAAAAGAAAGAAAAGTCGTCCTGCAGTAATCACAGAGGGATTAGCTTGATTAATGTGGCATCTGAAGTCAGACTCAGTAATCATGCTCAGATTTAATAGTGCCTGCGAGAAGTACACACAAAAAACCAGACAGACTTTAGACCAGGAGGAAGGTTTGTTGATCATATCTTCACCCTCCGACAGATTCCAGAACACAGTCATACTTACCGGCTTCCAACAATTGCCACATTTCTTGATCTGGATGCAGAATTCGACTCCACCGACTGCGAGGTACTTTGGCGATGTATGTGCCGAGAATTTACATCTCACTGATCGAGACACTCTGCTCTAACTCACGCAGCCGTTATAGTGGTCATCTGAAGTGGTGACAACTAGTGGTATCCATCAGGGATGCCCACTGTAACCATTTCTGTTTAATTTCATGATTGCCGTAACTGAATTCTGTGATTCAGAGATTGACTTGTTACCAAGGAAACATCTTGTTTACTTGGAATGTGCTGATGATATAGTTCCACTTCCTAGGTAAGGACGCTGACAAAATGGAGAGTCTTGTGGACACCTTGAACAGAAATCCTCGGATGTTAGCCACATGATTTGTTTCTATGAGATGATGCTACAGGACTGAAGTGTATGGACTCCTAGGTTAAAGATAAGGAGGGGGTGGGTGAGTTGTTAGTGTGTCGCATCAGCCCCAGCAGGCAGATTGCTCACGAAATGACAGCACGGATACAGAAGGCTTGTGGGGCATTTGCCAACTTGTATGATCCCTGGCGTAGATGTGATATCCGTCTGTCAATCATGTGACATGTGTACTACTCTGAAGTTCGGTTCGTGTAACGCACACCTAGCTGTCGCCATCCTCTACGGGCAACGTTAGCTGACATAGGATTAGTTTGAAAAAGGGCTAGTGGTGGTCAAACCAGAACATGACATCAGTACATGAAATCTCTAACAGTTGTTTTGAGCTAGCGACTTAGGGAGGTGTACGCTACCTATTCGGGATTCTAAGAACCAATGACTGGAGACAATTGGTAAAAGGGTTCAAAATCGTTATCATGTTCACAGATGCTCTCTATCTGTCTCTCTCTGTCATCCCCTGTATCCTCTAAACGCTCATATCTTTCCGTGTTACTATACTTCACATTTCTGCTTACCATTGTTCTTTTTAATCCTTGTTTTTCTTTCTCTTGTTTTCCTTTATGTGCTAAATGGAGCGTGGCTACTTGAACTTCTGTACTCTTGTGCAAAATTCTATGTTGAAACTATTCAGTCAGTCATTTATAACACTTCCCCCCCCCCATAACTTCATTATAACTTGTCAAGGTGTGTCAGTAAGCTTATTCAACTATCTAGTTTTTAGTTCTTGAACTGTGAATTGTTTCAGTGACCTCATTATACAAATAAGACGGACATCCCTAAATTTATGCTCAGGATATTTAGAATCTTTTATATCTTTATCTACAGGAATTATTTCATGGGCGTACTCTAACTCAGCATAAGGTTCCCATGGTAGCGAGTGAATTCTTATGACTTTGAAGTAACTGACAGTTACATTTTTTTCAGTACGTTCAGAGTAAAATCAATTAAGAACCATAACATTGGACAACCCTAATATACAGCACTGATTGTTATCACTTCTGAGGGTGACCCCGCCTTGATCCTAAAACGATTGCCTAAGTTGAAGTATTGTGGACAAGTATTGTTCCAAATTATTAAATATTATAAATTCCAAAATTGTGTTTTGTTTTGTTCACATTTCATAAACATGTTAAGCGATACGTAGAATAATGTACAAAACCAGTGCAACAATGAACAGCCTGCCTTATATATGTAACACAGAATGTGGTAATGGTGCTAGTATGCAAATGAATGATTGCCTGGCATCTCACTCGATTATCATTTTATTATTCTACTTATTTTCTGTTCCTTTTATTCCATTGTTTTAGGTACACCAAAAAAAGTAAAGGATAATTTGTCCAATTATACAACTGTAAGTTTCTCAATTTACTAACTAAACTAAACACTTTATCGCTTAATTAACTAACGTGTAGATGTGTATATGCACAAGTTAATTAATCGGACCTATGTGCTGTAATCAGCATGGACATAGAAACGAAGGAAAATATGGAATAACGTAAAAGTTCTAATGAAATATAAGAGTTAGAAAATGTTAGAAAAACAAGCAAATAACCAAAAGTCAGGATAGCAGAAATCAACAGGTAACAAGTCTCAACGCAGGAAGGAAATACTATCCATTACTCCCAGCTTTTCCAATGGTTCTCCAACCGATGTCAGCTCATAGTGAAATAGTGTAGCCAATCAATCAAATCCCTACAAACCAATACTTGAGAAATCAGCAGCGTTGATAATAGAAGGGGTTGAATAATTTCCTTTTTTAGACTTAGCTCCAGTTTTGCTAACTAAATGCCTAAGGTTTCAACAATACAAAGGAGACGAAAGCGTATTGATTTTGGCAGCTTGTTTTTGACTTTGTAGAATACTTTGCAGGAGGCGTTTTCTGGGACGGGATGACCAGTGTTCACAGAGTATTCAATTATCACAGTCATTATGGAGACACTTTTGGTTAGAAAGCTACATTACACTACTTTTTGTAAAATGTGGTGTGCACAAAATAAATAATCCTGGCCCTTTCTTTTGTAGGAGATGGAAGAGAGAAGGTTTCTAATGAATTCACCTAACCGCTGAGTTCAAAACAACAGAATAATACTGTGGTGAGAGCTGGATGCAAGCCGAAATTGTAGACAGCAATTTAAGTCAGTGTTGCGTTCCAAATTAGGGTCATGAGAAAAACAATAACTAAGCTTAACTTTGAGGGACTCACCAACCAATCACAGCAGACTTAAGGTGTGCAAATAGGATTCGCAGGTCTATGGCTTAACTTTCTGAGATACGGCCACAAGCAGTACAGAATAACTTTCAGCAAGAAAACAACCAATTATAAAAGACTGCTTCTCCGCTGACAATAATGCACATAAAAATCTATCTTGCACATATCTTTTATTTTCTCAATTTATGTTCCTCTAGGAATTAAAGGATATAATAATAATAATTTTCTCAATAAACTATCTGTTGCCTTATTACCTTTGCGTTCTTATTCAGGTGTATGCGCAGTTACCACTTTCTTTCTGCCCACATCATAAAAGTCTGTTTTGTTTCTTGAAATATTTTAAACAGAGAAAGAGACAGCATTAGTGTTGCGTAATCTCAAACACTAGGATACAACTTCTTGGGGTCGTTCACACGCATCTTTTCGATGCTTTGTATTTTTTCGAGTTGCATCTTTGTTTCACCCATCTGCGTACTACCGCAGAATCAGTCAGGATGTGCAGTTTTTTGGATCGAACTTTTCTAACCTCACTAACCCGGAGAGGAGAGGCAGCTTGTTGCCTCTCCATTCATATTCGCCAACAGACCCTAAACTTATTATAAACTGCCTTTAGTATAAACACTATCGAAACAACCCTCCCAATATTTCAGAACTTACAAAATAACATCAGTTCCAGTCAATTTAGCTTGTTGAGTCATTCTGATGCGCGAGTCCCACCACCATATTGAGCTGGCAGCTGTCGGTATGGTTATTTACCAGCCCTTATATATATATATATATATAAGCCCTAAAACCACCAACTTTCCATTTGACCTTTACTTACAGATTTCCGCACTCATAAAACCAGTGGACACTGCAATGAAAGGTGAAGCTGAAGATCAGAATACTAATGATTACCCTGCTGAAGATGAAGAAAACTCATTTCACCCGAGTACTACTATTAGTATTAGCAGTTTTACTTCACTGGCAGATGAAGTTGTAAAAACCAATTCTATTTCAACTTTTGGCAATACTATTAACAATCATCCGAATATTATTGTCACTGATCCAGATCATATTGAAAAGTCGAATTTGAATCGACAATTTTTCTTCCATTCATGTCATATTGGTTTATCAAAGAGTCAAGTTGCATGTGATGCTGTCAAACGGATTAATTCGCATATATCAATTCATGCTATGTGTAATAAATGTATGGTAGACAGCTGTATATCATCGTTTACCTATTGTCTTCTTTCCATTGGTGTCTATTTTTTATCAGATAACATAGTATGTATTAATTTTAGAATGAATTAGTAAGCAGGATTTTCTAGACGCTCTTTTCGGCATGAACGAATATTGCTCAGGAGAAAATTAAACTAACAGCCATACCAATCTAGCTTATGACTCTTCGGGGATGTACCTTCAAGACTCTTCAGAGAATAAAGCCTAGGATAATCAAGTCACTGGGCTGTTGTTACGTAGGAAAATTTTGTGATTCAACGCGAAACCAACAGACTCCGTGATTTTGTATTCATTCTTGTCAAAATACTCATGCAACCAGTCATAAGGAATGGTGATTAGAAATAGAATTTAAGGGTATTTGAAAATAATACTAATCATCCAGATGAAATAATGAATGGTCCACAAAGAATGAACTGATTTGTATTTCGTTATCGTGGATTGCTTTCAATACAGTCACATATGTTTGTAGGACATATCAACAATCAGTTAAGAGGTACCTACTGATTGGAAGGTAGACTGTCTTGTCAAATTACTGAAGAAGGGCAACTTAGTCCTCTTCAAGAACTGACGTAATCATCAAACAGAGCATAGAATGGCAGTCGGACATCTACCTCAGTTTCGTTGATTCAATTTAAAAGGCCTTCGACAGCGTTGAGTAAGAAGTAATTTGGGGACTACTTCAACATCTTGGAGTGCCCGAAATATATATTAACCTTATTCAACAACTATGTGACAATTTCATGTGTGAAGTGATCCACAACAGAAAACTCAGATAAGCGTCTGAAGTGAAGACAGGAGTAAGACGAAGCTGTCTACTATCACCCATGATGATATTCCTAATTGTGGTGGAGTGGATTATGCGTCAGACTGAGTGGGGAGTGAGAGGGGGAAATTTGAAAGGGGTTACTTCCTTCACTTATCTAATCGGCATCGTTTTAACAGCGAACAAACCGAACGGATGACGATATCAAATGTTGTCGGGATCGGAAAGGCCAGACGGACTTCTACTACTCTAAAATCAGTTCGGAAATCTTCTTCACTCCACTGCAGCATAAACGAAGTTGAGGTGTGCTGTTTTAACCCATGTTTCAGTTGGAAACCTAGGAAACATTAATAACTTTGATCAATTTAAAAAAAATAGTAATTGGATACTTTTTCACTTTTGACAGTTGATAAAATGTAACAATACTCCTGTTCAACTCTTCCCCTAGCCTTCAGTTATTCATTAGGCTATAATACAAGTCTGTTATGATGGCTATTTTGAAAGCGTTAACATTAGTGATAAAGTTGAAATGCTTATGAAAAATGTTGTGGAGTTTTAATTTCTACTTCACTGGTTTCATTCATTTCAGTAGTCTGGAACCGCCTTCTATATACTGATACAGTTTTATAGTTCCTATGGTTACTTTAACACCTGTTAAACAGCATTTCAACCCAGTCTTGCATAATATATGATAGTTTCCAGTAGCGCTGGCCATATATATATATATGTATAACATGAGTAGTTTAGTCGATGAAATCTCAGCACGGATCCAAAAAAGCTCGAGCTGCTTTCGCTGACTTACACCATCTTTGGCGTAGGCGTGACATTCGGCTATCAACCAAGGGACGTGTGTACTGCTCAGCGGTTCGCTCCGTCCTTCTCTATGGCTCTGAAACATGGCCAATACGCGTTGAAGACATGAAAAGGTTGACTGCTTTCGATCATAGATGTCTGCGATCTCTGTCTCACGTTAGGTGGTTCAATAAGGTAAGTAATGTTGACGTTAGGCGTAGAGTGTTGGGCAAAGAGGGAAAATCAATCGACGAGGCTATAAAGTTACACAGATTGAGATGGTTAGGTCACGTGCTGCGCATTCCTAACCATCGCCTCCCCCGACGGGCATTACTAGCTGATATAGGTTCAGGTTGGAAAAGAGTAAGTGGTGGCCAAACAAAAACATGGCCTCATCAATCCATGAAATCCTTGACAGTTAAACTGAGTCAGGTAGGGAGATGCAGACTCCCGGGTTGGGGCCCTCGGGACTCTAGGAATCAATGGCTAGAGACAATAGGTGACATGGCTCAAAATCGTTGTCAATGGCCAGGGCAGATGTATTCAGTCTCTGTAATCTTTCATATTCCTTTCTACCATTACCCATTCTGTTTCACTCTTATACTTGTCAAACTCTATTAATTCTCTTCACTTATCTTCTTGTCTACCTCTGTGCTATTTGGAACGTGGCAACTCGAACTGCTGCACTTCGGTGCCAAGTTCTATGTTGAATCCAGACAGAGGCAGACAGACAGTTTAGTCGCACAGAAACTTATCTACTATGAGGGCATTATTTTGCCAAAAACTAAGGCATCTATCTCTGTGTCCCTCAAACTCTTCTGTAGACCATATATCAGTTAATTCCATGTTTACCTCTGACGTACATTACACCACAATTCACGTATACTGTTTGAGTTGCATATTTAAAAAGCATTACAGAGATTAATTTATCTCCAACTTTAAGATATCATCAGCATTTCTATCTCATATACTGAGTGGTAAACTGAAAGCATTCCTTGTGACTATGTTAGTTTGATTGAGTGTGTATGAGAGAGAGAGAGAGAGGCAGAGAGAAAATGTGTATTTCATGTCTCCGTTTAATTACTTCATCAACCTAGTGATACAGTCTCTTACTTTTGGTGCAGAGAGAGAGAGAGGGAGGGGTTTTCATATGCAAATGGTATGTACATTTACCTAAAGCGTTGAATACTCTAAAGTTAATTTATCTAGCTAAATACTAGTCTACGCCTCCTCCACGTCCCCAACCGATTATTGAGTGTTTAACTTAATATTTAGCATCAAAAAGTATTCTAAATTACGATTTATTTAGTTAGTGAATCTTAAGTGAGTGGGTGAGTGCTTGAGAGAGAGAGAGAGAGAGACAATAAGAAAAAGGGTTATTAGTGTTCTAACTAAACTAAAAGCATACATTTTATTATCCCAATGCGTTTATACGTATGTTTAGTTAGTCGCCTGTCATTTGTGTTTTTATTTTCCTGTTTCCATCTTATGACGTCGACGGTTGAAGTTATTTATCGTGTAAGAAAACATTCATTTCATAGTTGTTGTTTTTTCGGTTCCCTTTATTAATTTCGATAAAGAAAGAAAGACCAAATTTGCAATATAAAATGATATCGTTATTCTATTTCACAGGTCTTCATCAGATGCACACAACACTACCTGAAATTATAGTGGTTATATAAAAGAATGCCAACAGTATACTTCACTGTAAAGAAAACTTTATAAAATCAACGCATCCGAAATATGAGGATAGGGTAACGCTATACAGCACCACATGCTCTATTAAGCCAATCCAAACTGGTGCCATTTCCAACTGCGTTTATAAATTTTTACACACACTTGCAGGTACATTAGAAGGTACAGAGAGAAGCTCTTCTATACATTTTTCTGAGCATATCCTAGGAAACTTATGCCTTAAACGAAGCAGATATTCGCAAAGTACAAATATCAAACATCTTGTGGATATGGGTTATTTCGTTGAGATTTCTAAATTCTTCGAAATATTAAAGATACAATGGACAACAAATTTACTATGATTTACTGATGAAACGATTACAATCAAATGTTGTTTCAAATGAAACTTATGCGTACACAGAAAGAGAGTGTAATCAATCTCTTACGCTGTTGGTAATTGCATTTTGATTACAATGGTCAGTCATCTATATTAGTGTTTTCAGTTCACTCAGTAGGTTTTCCGTGTCATCAACTTTAACCTGCTTAAACTGAGCTATAATCAACCTACGTGCTAACACTGTTTATTAGATTATTCTGTCTTTTCCTTTCCCCCTTTCCTTTATTTCCATTTTGAATGGCATATAAATTGATGGTAACTTACACTAAAACCAGTTGTAATCCTCATATTTTGGATGCGTTGATTTTTATAAAGTTTTCTCTACAGTGAAGTATACTGTTGGCATTCTTTTATATAACCATTATAATTTCAGGTAGTGTTGTGTGCATATGATGAGAACCTGTGAAATAGAATGATGATATCATTTTATCCTGCAAATCTGGTCTTTCTTTAACGAAAGCCATTTCATCATTCACCTGCGTACCCTTAATACCATCTTCATCATAATTTTCTTTTCTTTTGTGTCCTGTGTTTTCTTCTTTTTCTCCTCTTTATGTCTTTTGTTCAGTTTGGCCAGATACAGAAAAATCAGTTTTCACTGACGAATTCTTAGTAAAAGCAATTAACAAGTCTACTTTATCAAATGTTCAACCCAGTGGTGTTGTTTTAGCCGCTTTAGACTGTATAGCTACACGTCGTTACTTAGATTCACGATGTGTAACCCTACACTTACCATTATTTGAATCTGGAACATTAGGCACTAAAGGTCATGTACAAGTGATTCTACCAAATCTAACTGAATCATATAATAGTCAAAGAGATGATCATAATGACGTGAATAGTGGTAGTAATGGAAGTACAGAGAGTCAATTGAATTCAATACCATATTGTACATTGAAATCATTTCCTACACAACCTGTTCATTGTATTGAATGGGCACGTGAAAAAGTAAGCTAATTTATACTTATCTATCTTCATTTCTACTCTTTTGTAAATCACTTTGAACTGTTTTATTTTAGGATGAATGAACAGTGTTGTACTCAACGATCATTTGCATTTACACATGCACCTACTTGGCGATCAATCACATCTGTTGTGTGTGTGTGACTTCAATACTGCCTGGTTGCCTGCCCCCTCGTTTGGTGGACTAGAGGTTGAAACAGTAACTAACCACAGTGTGTGAAAGTTGGCTATCCAGGTTTGATTTGATCAAATGTATGACTTACCCCTTATTGACTTCACCAAGTCTGTTGATTATAACCAATAATTTCTCTGGACACCAACCTTCCAGTATTATTATTATTATCATTCCCTTGTGTTCCGAGTGGAACCTTGGGGTTCAACAACACATCTCCACTTCTATTTTTTCTGCCATGCTCTTCATCTGGTTCCACGATTGCCCATAATCTCTCATCTCTAACTCACATGATTTCCTCCATGTCACCCTAGAATGACCGACTCGTCACTTCCCATTTGGATTCCACTCGAGGACCTGACGCGCGACGTCATTTGACGGTTTCTTCAATGTATGCCCGATCCATTTTCTCCTACATATTTTTTGAGCGATCGGCTCTTGGTTAGTTCGTTCCCAGCCAGAGTTTCTTGTTACTGATTCTTTCTGGCCAATTAATATAGAGCCGGCGAAGGCAGCTGTTGATAAAAGTCTGCAACCTGTTAGAAATCATTTTCGTGACACACAGTGCAAGTTTCTGACCCGTATAGAAGGACCGACTGACTTCACATTTGTGCTAAAAATCCGAATCTTGTTCCGTATGCTGAGGCAGAGTACAGTGAAGAAGATTTCCAAACTGGTGTCATGTTGATGAAGGCGTATCTTGACTTTTTGACTGGCTGTCTGCTTTTGAAATCTTCAGCCGATCCTCTGGCCGTGGTTGAAACCGTGCTATCAAGCCAGATAAGTGAAGGAGATGACTTTGGTTGAATCTCTCCCGTTGATGGTCGTTGGTGCTGGTTGAGGTTGTTTTTGTTGTTGCTGTTCGTTGGTTATTTTCATTACCTCCGTCTTCTCTTTGTCTGCCTGAAGTCCTGTCTTCGCTGTCTGCTTCTTCAGCCAGTTTGTTGGTTTTCGCGTACACTTAAGTCTTCGAGTTTATGTGACATAAGACATAGATCATCTACGAAATCCAGATCTTCTAAAGTCTTCTTATCGGTGATCTAGCGCATTCCTGTCTCCTCACTCCCCAAAATCTGACGCATAATCCAGTACACCATAATTAAGAATATCATAGTTGATAATAGGTAGCGGCTTGTCCTACTCCTGTATGCACTTCGAACGCCTCTCTGAGTTTTTCGTTATGGATCACCTAACACCTGTTGGATGAAGTTGATAAAGATTTCAGGTACGCCATAGTGTTGCAGCATTCCCGAATTCTTTCTCGGTCAACGCTGTCTGTCAAAGTCGATGAAGTTGAGGCAGAAGTTCGACTGGCGTTCTAGGCTTTGTTCTGTGAGGGCGATGCGTAGAGTTGCGATTTGATCAGCACATTATTTGCCTCTCCTGAATATAGCCAGCTTGTTCCAGTGGGTGGCGGAGTTCGACATCCAGTGCATCCCTTATTCTCTCCCTGATGATGCGACTTGGTATCTTACTTGAAGTGGACAAGAGCGTGATTCCACGCCAGTTCTTGAAAAGGCTTAAGTCACCCTTCCTTTGCAGTTTAACGGCTTATCCTTTCTCCCAATCAGTAAGCACCTTGTCTTCTTTCCAAACCTTTTGCGGTAATGACGCGAGCACATCTACCGCAATCTCCGTGTCCATTTTCACTGCTACCAGGTGGAGAATCCCTTCTGGTTCTTCTGTCTTCCCGACCAATGTTCAGTAGCTTGATCATATTCAGGACTTTTGCTTTGTTCGAGTACTGGTGTCCACTGGCAGGCGATTCTGTGCGTGTTGTCGGTGGCGGTGGTGTTTCTCAGCGAGTTGCAGGTGATGGTCGATTCAAGAGTCCTAGAAGTGGTCAGCCCATTGTTTTATTTGTTCCTCTGCCTTGGTAATCTGGTTCCCTTGAGCAACTATTATTGTTTCCATCATCTGGGTTGATCTCCTTCCGGATGGAGACCTGGTTATCCAATATAATGTTCTAAGGTCTATTTCACCTTCGCACTGCTTCTTCTGCTTCAGTTGCTAGCCAGTGTGTCTTAGAATTGTCTTTTGTCTCTCCTAGCACTCTTCTTCACTTCTTCATTCAGTGCAGTGTACATTGAACTCAGCTTCTCCTTCTGTTTCCCATCACCAACCTCCTCTCCTCGATCAGCTTCCAGGTATGTATCCTTTGAGAGCCATTCCTTGTCGTGTCTCTTCTTACTTCCCAAAACAGTTGTACACAATTCCTTGAATATCCCTTTCAGAGACTTCCAATATTCTTCCACACAGGTTTTCTCAGTGATACCGGTGAACATCTTCGACTTCGCTTCTAGTAATTCGTTAGTATTTTTCCTTTGTTTAAAATGTGTACATTTTCCTTGTCGATTAAGACAACCGCTTACATTCAAATTCATCAATTATGGCGCTGGTTCATTCATTCATCTGTGGATGATTCCACAGCTCATTTTCTTTTTGCTATTTTCCTTGAAGTTTCTGTCTAGAAGGAAAATAAAAGGTTCACAGTGAAACTAACCGGCTTATTATTATTATTATGGTTATCTAAACTATGACCTGTAGATTATGAGCGAAGTACTTTACCAATTTTAATGAGAAGTCGTGAGCAGTTTGTTAGGATCCCCTTAATCTTGCCTGCTGAGGACTTGTAATAAGCGATGGCACAATGATGACACTACACATAGTTGATTTATGATAGAAGTTAGAATTTACGGGTCATAGGATTCCAGTTCAGTAATTTCATATTAATGTAAAATTACACATTCCCACAGTCTCTAAGTCTTACACTTATCTTAGCCTGGCACATGAATAGTTTGGTCCAGTTTTAAATGAGTTTAGACAGTTCTGTTAGTCAGTGTTACTCTGTTTGCTTCTTAAAACTGATGACGTGTTTTAAATCCTTGATGGTGTCACTCTCATGTGCTCCTAAAGAACTGTTCAAAGTAGAAGGAAACAATCACTCTGTACCCCCTAGCTTTCAATGGTTATGTAATATCTTCATGAGGAAATTCACGTTGGAATACTGCTTGTGAAAATACTAATCAGAAATCTCTGCATGAATAACTAATATGGTACGCAGATTGTCGGGGTAAGTGAGATGTTCAAATCGTTCTTAATAATATAATATATATAATAATGCATTTATATATATTTATTTATATTTTTATATTTATATACACATATATTAACTTTGTACGTAGTATTATTTGTACACCTTTCATCTTAAATAAGTCATCTTTCAGTTTCCTTCTGCTTCTTCCTTTACCTCCTGTTAGCTTTTTCTCTCATCTGTTTTTTTCGCCTCGAATCTTTCATTGCTGAAAATTGATTTTTAGTACATAGTGGGACATACAATAGATTTTAGCTGTAATTAACAGAAATCTGGTTGTAACACACTCAAATGAGAATTCAGAAATTCTGGAAGTCATCGTTTAACGAGCAGTGCCATCGTAGGATACCAGCTTCTGTGTCTTTGACATGTGCCACGAGTATCATTCCAGTGTCTCTCATTCATAAGAAAAAGGCACAAACAGCGAAGAAAATTTTCTTTTCGACGATTCATTTTCATGAGCTGTACAATCGTGCTTATAATTGACGAAGAAACCAATCAGATACTGGTAAACTTTGTCCTTGAAAAAATGTATTACATAATGTAAGGTGTAAGAAGGAATGACTAATTGTAAGTTAGAAAGGAGACAAAAGTTGGCATGACGTAATAAGTGTGACTTACCAGTAAGCTCGTGTAGAATGGACAGGAACTAGTGGAAAGGCTATACAGTAGTTTTGTATAAAATCTGTATGAAAAAGCAATGTTATTAATAAACAGTAATAGAGTGGTAATAAAATGTGGATGATGGGAATAACAGTGATGATAAAAGTATTAATAACGATAATAATAATAATAATCGCCAACTCACATAATAAAGGAAAGAAGCAAAATTGTAGTAAGAACTTTACTCTGGCCATGGTAAGGCAAGAGAATGTATGTATCGCTTTTGAATGCAGAGGTCTGGTTTCAGATCTCGAATAGCTAATGCTTCAGCTATGTACAGATGGTTTATCCGAAGTCCCTTTGTACGATATTAAGGGACTCTGTGTAACACTGTGAAGCATTCATGTGGGGGTGCTCGATTTAATTCGTTAGTCACCATATTCATTGGACTAGTTAAAAAACCGAGATTGTGGTCAGTCTCTGTCGTGATGCCATGAAATTAAGAATAGCTGTATTCTGTTAACGTCTTTCGCCACATTACAACTTCCTGTGCTGGGGTCTGAAAGATCATCGATCAACTCAGTGACCCGAGACGTTATCAGACACGCATGCGAATTCAAGCCAACTGAGGGGGATTTGAAGTAATTAACATTTTGGGAATGCTCTGAATACCTTACTTGTTTTCATCCTGTTGTTCTGAAACTATTCTACTTTCCTTTCCATTTTGCGGTACACCTCTTCATACTCATACTCTAGTAAGTTGAGATTTTAAATAAAAAATATTTCAGAACTTTACGATTGGATTACACCGATGTGGTATTCAATGATTATCTGCTGAGTAAACAAAGTCGTTAACATATTCCAATGTTCATCCAAGTAATGGAAAAGTAAACACGGTATACTACTGAATAACGATGCACAACTCTACACACTTGGCAGTGTAACACACCTATTTACCTATCCACCAAAACTTCAATGAATGAGGCTTATTTTGATGAGGCTCTTGATATGATTATCAGCAATAGTTTGTGCTCGAAACGTCATCAGTTAATATAACTGTACAACACTGTGTGTGGTTTATCAAAATAAAATCTTATCCATAATGAGGTTTATTTT